CGAAGTTGGCAACATTACACAACACTGAGTATCCACACGCGCCAAACGCGCCGCGTTATATGACGTCATCAGCATTCGTCCTTCGATATCGCATGCCTACCGCATTTTGTAAAATTCGGCGCGTACGGTGCGGCTGTAATATGGGAGGTTTCATATGATTTCATACAACGAATCCTAAAATTCGGCGCGTACGGCGCGTACGGCGCGTGCGACTCGGACAAATGTGCGTTCAGCTTTAGACGGAATTTTCGCTAACTACAAGAAGTCAGGTCTTTCTGTCCACAGTAGGTACGTATAAAGTAAGCGATAAGCTATACTAACTGTTAACTGTAGTGTCGTATATGTAATTGTCGATTTTGTATCAATAGTGTACTTACGGAGATGTTTTTATCTGGGTAAATAAAATAAAACTTCAGAATTAGATAAATTAAATATATATAATTCTATCGATATTTATTTTTAATAATACATAATATAATAATGTAATAGCTAAAATTTTATAAACAATATGTTTTATGTATGTAGATCTAGGATTATTATATATCTAACATGAGCTAACAATAGATAAGATATATTTTAGATTGTTATATAATTTAAGCTTCTTCAAAGTATTCCTACACTATAAATTATTCATGTCTAAATATTCATAAGTATATGAAACGTATCATACCGGTTGGGCGATCTAACGTTTGGAATTGGAATTGTAGATTATTTTGAGGTTGGAAGGTTTGATGACAGTTCTGATGTGACAATAAATTACATGGAAACTCGATTAACCGGACTAATTGTTGCCGTTAGGGATTCGCATAATCGAAAATCCAGATAATCGCATGTATGAAAAAAAGCGGGTTTTGTGCATATGTAGTACATACATACATAATGTTATGTGTTAATTAAAAACAACAATATCAACGAAAATCAATGTTTATTAAGAAATTATTGAGAGATACATTTTTCAATATACGATGTATGCATTTATTTATGTACATACATATTTTCTTAGATTACACACATACATAGGTACTAAAATACTGCAGCCTTAATCATGAAATAAAATATTTAGATACGTATGTACGTATACATAGGTAATTTGTTTACAATGTGTCTTTGGTAATTTGCAATTGGTATTCATGAAAATTTGGTTTAAAATATTTGGTAATTGTCATTTGACGTAAGCCACGTTTTCTCTTCGTTGCTGCTATATCACGAATTCGTTTGAGCTGTAGTAAACTCACAGTATCACTATCTGTTTGTTTTACAAACCACTTGAAAGCTGTTTTCAGGGCCTGAAGTGCTTCATCATGAGATGGTCCTCCATCATTTTCCATGTCTATATTTTCTTCTGTTTTATCTTCTTGCATTTCCTGCTGTTCATTTATCTGCAATATGTTTTCTACGATTTCGTCATTCGACATAATCTGAAAGCGTTAATCATTACTGTCACAAGGACCCACTCTCATCATCATCATCACAATCCTGGAAATTTGTATCTTTAACATTAGCTCATTTATATCCTCCGAAATAGAATCATCCGTATTGGTTATTGATTTTCATTCTCCCGATTAAGTACTCTGTTGCAAGCCTTGTTTAGACAACGCCCACGCTTCTACAACCATGTAACAACCACTCCATTAAATTCATTTCCTTAAAAATGATAAAACGACTTCTACATTATCTTCATCAACAGATAATAACCTACGTAAAAGTTGTTTTCTATAAAGTCGTTTTAATGTTTCAATAATACTTTGATCCATTGGTTGCAGCAAGCATGTTACATTAGGAGGCAAACATTTTACTTTAAGCTTTCCATTTTCTCTTTCTATCAGTTCAGCCGAAGGATGGGTTGGCGCGTTATCTAGTAAAAGTAATACATTTCCTTGTTTGTTAATTTCGTTTTGTATTTTTTTTACTTCAGGGATAAAAGTGTTGTCATACCAGTCAATGAATGTTTCAGAGTTCGTCCATGCGCTTTTTTGATTTTTATAAATTAAAGGCACCCTAATATAAAAATATATATAAATAAATATAAAACATCTAGGTTTTTTTGATTTTCCGATGAGGAGCAAAGGTATTTTATGGGTCCCGGTAGCGTTAGCACAAACTAATATTGTTACTCGTTATTTGCTAGTTTTATATCCTGGTGCTAAATTCTCTCGCCTAGAAGCTAAAGATTTTGAAGGTAATGACTTCCAGTATAATCCGGTTTCATCAGCATAAACAAAATCCAATTCATAGTTATTTTCATCCAATTTCTTCTTAAAATAATCTTTAAAAGAGTTTGCTGCGTCTACACTAGCTGACATTTTTTCACCTTGTAATTCTCATTCACGAATTCCATGACGAGATTTAAATCTGTAAAACCATCCGTTACTTGCGACAAACGAGTCGTCGCCGCCTTTTTTATTTAACTGTAATGCTTTTTCACAGGGCAAAGGGCCAGATATCGCTTGCCCCGTTGATCGTTCTTGTAGAAACCAACAATACAAAGCATCTTCTAAAAGATCGTCTTTCGGTTTCTTCAACATTTTCCGATGTTTACTCCCGTCTTCACTATCTAATTTGCAGGTGTACAACAAAATTGAGTCAGCATTCTTCTTAATATTACTTATCGTGGATGTACCTACACCATACTTATCAGCTAACTTACCGGTTTTTACTTTTGTAATGAATCAATAATATTTATTTTGTCTTTAAGCGATAACACCACTCTCTTACGCTTTGACATTTTTAAATAATATATAGACTAGACACGCACGTCCGAGTAACAATTGCTAGCTAACTAAAACAATAACAAAAGGCGATCCCTCTGGGCGCGGTCGGGGTAATGCCAGTACCGACACGTTCACGCTTGCATAAATTCGACATGTACATACGTTAAACATTTTGTAACTTGAGCCAAGTTACAAATATGCTTTAATTATTTAATTGGTCGTGGTTGATAGTCCGGATAATCGTGATTCCGTATAACTGAGGGCCGGATAATCGAGTTTGTAGAGTAGTAATGTTTGAAATTTATGAAAAGGGCGCTTTTCGCTTGAACTAACTTGGAAAATTTTAAAAACTTATTTCCCAAATGGGAAGTCTTCTACTCAAACTGTAAAAAATTTACGGAAAAAATTTGACAAAAAGGATGTGCCAAAAACGCAGTTTGTGGATTTAAATGTGAAACGAGTGCGTGAAACTAGACCGTTGTTGGATAAAACAACTCGTCCAGTGACTCCAGTCCGCGCAACGGAAAACATCGCTGCTGTTGCTCAGAGTGTGCGTGACCAACCATCAACATTTTGCATAAAGATCTCGTTATGAATGCGTAAAATTCGTAAAGTTCAAATAGTACAAGAGCTGAAGCTGCATGATCATGCAATGCGTTTTCGGTTTGCTAAATAGGCTGAAGACCGCTTGATCGAAAATGAGCATTTTTACCAAAAAATCATCTTTTCAGATGAGGCTCATTTCCACCTCGGAGGATACGTCAACAAGCAACATTGTCGTATTTGCGGCTCAGGAAATCCACACGGCATCGTGGAGAAACCAATGCATCCACAACGGGTGATTGTCTGGTGCAGATTTTGGTCTGGCGGCATTATTGAGCCATTTTTCTTCGAAAATGAGAAAGGAAATTACAGTGAATGGCGATCGTTACCGCGCCATGCTAAACGATTTTTTGTTTCCCACGATGTAAGACGATGACATCTAGACGACATTTCGTCTCAACAGGAAGGCGCAACGTGCCACACAGCCAACGTAACAATAGATTTTAGAAAATCGCATAATCAACCGAAATGCTGATGTCAATTGGCCAGCTCAAAGCTGCGATTTTGTTAGACTGTTTTTTTGTGGCGAGCCGTTGAGGACAAGTGTTACGCTAACCATCCAGAGACGATTGACGACTTGAAACCTGAAATCGAATGTCATTGACAAAATAGAGGCCCAAACAATCGAAAATATACTCAAAAATTTTAAAGGAGTATTGTAAGGCTAGCCATGGCAGCCAATTGAATGATGTTGTCTTCCATTCTTAAATGGAAAGGTTCGATCTTTCTAATAAACTCATAACTTTGAAAAAATATTCATTACCTTTTTTTATAGCGCATTCAAATTCCAAATCTTAAATGGCCTACCCCTTATAATTAACTAATATGTAATTTAATTGAAAACATGAAAAAATTCAGCTATTAGTGTAAGTACAAACGTATTTGGCACATATTGGTTCACATTTTCGCTATACTATGTAGGTATAACTAGCTAATCAAGTTGGTAAATATTCATTTTTGAATTTGAATTTATGAAAGATACACAATTCGCAGGTAAGCGATTTATTTGTATTGGTTCTTGGTGTGGGTATATTTATTAAATTAACAAAAGACTTCAGGAAATTTTAGTACGTAATTGTCCAAATTAAAATAGAGAGAAAGGATTTGGTTTTCCTATTAAAATAATAATATAATCATTGTGTTACTTTAATGAAATTGTACCTACTAAAGATGTTTCCTTCGCCTACTTTATAATTTAAATTTAAATTCTCATTGTAATAATATGATCATATTATAATTTTATCTATCTAAGCAAATCAACAAAGTAGTGCAAGGAGTTTTAGCGGGAATTGAACCACCGGCCGATTGTTGATCTGATAAAAGATTTTGTGTATTACATGTTTGCGAAAATTGTAAATCATAAGTAGAAACAAGGAAGACTTCAAGCAATTTTTAGGTGCCTTAAGAACTTGAAATAATGTTGTCCTCGACTGTCCGCTAAATTAAGTTGTCGTCAAAATCTTCCTAAAACTGTGCAATGTGACGCATCAGCATATTGTCTAAAGTTTTTCAAACAAAATATTTTAATGGATAATGACTTATTACTTGACACTGGCAAAAGTTTGTCGGTACGTGTCCATGGCCAAATAAAAAAAATGTAATGCACTAGCAAATTATTGCCATGTTGCGACAGTAAGTGTAATCGAATGCGGAGATGTGGTGATGCTGGCGTGGGGAGGGGACCCGCTAATACACCTCGACGCTCTCCTGGTGGTACACGGTGTCCTGGCGGAAAAGCTCCACGTCGGCCTGGCTGTCCGCCTGGATCAGCTTGGTGCGGCCTTCCTGTATTATACAGTCAATCGAGTATTTTGAAACAATGCTCATATTTAATCGGCCTCACGGCTATTTAAAAACCTAATTTACAAAAATCAAACAAAAAACCTTATGTACATTTATCAAGTGGTCGGTGCATGCACACAGGCCTCTCATATAACTTTATTTCCCTATTATCAACCCTACAAGTAACCGAATAGTGTAGGTCTGGACACGGGCCCCTTCTATTGAAGGCAGGTTTTACCTTAATGAGACAATACCAGACATCTTTCCACGTGGTAGAGCCATGCTGCAGCTATATTAATTGTATGGTTGTAGCACGAATGGGTCGGCTCGACCGAGGAAGGACCACGCTCTCACAGAATACCAGCGTAAAATAGCAGCTTAATGCTGCTGTGTTTCGTATGGTGAGTGTAGAGAACCGGAGACCCTTTTTGCTGTAAACTAGGCATTCCATCGTAGTCCTCAGGGGTGACAAAGCATCTACATTTTGATTCTTAATTGAAGATAAATATAGATGTCTGTGGGCCACAGTATCCACTTACCATCAGGTGGACTGTGTGCTCATTTGTCACCCTATACTATAAAAAAATCTTGCACCTTTAATGACTTGGCATATATAGGAGATGGTTTTTTCGACAGCTATCAAAGGTCAAAAGAGCTTACGTTACTTTCTTTACTCAACTTCTATGGTTCCCGCGAGATATGATGAAGTTATGTGGTACAACCACGTTGCAGGCATATTATAGTGTAACACGAATGGATTGGCTCGACAGGGGAAGTACCGCTCACGGAATGCTGGCGAAAATAGCAGCTAGTTGCCGCAGAGTTTTGTATGATGAGTATAGAGAACCGGAGACCCTTTTTACTGGATACGTTAAGAGTACTAACGAAGTGCTTGCAGTTTACAACACATGCATATACTATATGTCTGTCTGTGTATGTGTGTGCTTGTATGTTGACCTTGGGGTGCATAAGTATGAAGGGCAGCTCTGCGGTGAGCTCGCCGCCCAGCGCTCCCAGGTACAGCTTGACCTTGACGCTGTAGCTCACCACGATGCCGAACGCGTCGCGTTGATCCGGATCCAGCAGCCTACAAAAAACCATTAACACACTAATTTTTGGGGTTCCGTACTCGAATGTTCCCTATTACTAAGCCTCCACTGTCCATCCGTCCGTCCATCGGTCTGTCAGCGGGTTATATCTCATAATCCGTAATAAGTAGACAGTTGAAATTGTACCAGAATGTGTAGTTTTGTTGCCGCTATAAAACAAATAATAAAAATAAAAATAAATTAAAAATTAAAGGGGGCTCCCTTACCAGAAACCTGTTTTTTTACCAGCATAGTATTAAATCTTGCACGATGGTACGGAACCCTTCATGCGCGAGTCTGACTCGCACTAGGCCGGTTTTTTATTATGTTGGGAAAATTCAACATTTGTAATGATTATTAATGAACATTATATTCCTTCTTTTAGGTCTTATAAAATATAAGACCTAAGAGAAGGAAAATATTAAACCCTCCTTGTTTGAAATTCCGTAATCAGATAAAAGTAGCCTATAAGTTACGCAGTGTCCCTAGCTACCAATACACAAAATTTCATGGAAATCTGCCAGTAGTTTTTACATGAATTCTGAATACACAGACAGACAGACATACAGACTGACAAATATTTTAAAAACTACTACTTTGTCTTCAATATCCTATTTAGTCTCCCACGGCTAGCATGGGCTGGGGACAAAAAATTTATCCTCCTATTTTATCCACAGACAAGAGATAAAATTATCTCCTTACACGGCAACGGGGAGAAGTATATCCCCGTTTGACATAACGAGTAGACATATATACCCCGTCCGTAGTATGGAGCCAAATAAAAGATAAAAAATATGATTTTTTGACATTTGAAAGGGACAGTTCTATCCTAGTTGATTGGACGTGGGTTTAAGTTTATATTCATTCGAAAAATCTATCTAAGTCTAAGTCTATCTCCCATTTTATCTACTGTGGATATTATATCCACCGGTGTGCCCATGCTCGAAGGGTGGATAAAACTAAGCGAGGGGATAAACATTTTCTCCTTTCCCGGGGATAAAATTGTTTCCTGCCCATGCTAGCCCTGCTTGACTTAGTTTTTCTGAGATATATTAGAATTACAGATAAGACTTTTCTACAGGTTTATAACATGTATGTATAGATTCTAGTAAAGAGATTAGAGCCATAGTAGCATAGGAGCTTAGTCATCATTACAGCCCTTCACAAGTCCACTGCTGAACATAGGCCTCCCCCAAAGAATGCCACAAAGCACGGTCCTGAGCCACCTGCATCCATCGACTTCCTGCATATCTTACCAGGTCGTCACTCCATCTAGTGGGGGGACGCCCTACACTTCGCCTGCCGGTACGAGGCTGCCACTCGAGAACCTTTCTTCCCCATCGGTTGTCGGTTCTTCGAGCTATATGGCCGGCCCATTGCCACTTCAGCTTACTAATCCGTTGGGCTATGTCGGTCACTCTAGTTCTACTGCGGATATCCTCATTTCTGAGTTTATCACGCAGAGAAACTCCGAGCATAGCCCTCTCCATAGCTCGCTGAGCGACCTTGAGCTTCCTCATCCGGCCAGCAGTGAAGGACCACGTCTCAGTTCCGTATGTCATCACTGGCAACACGCACTGGGTGTACAGTCTCGTTTTCAAGTTTTGAGGTATACCTGAGGTATACCTAGGAGCTTAGTGCTTGATGTAAATTTCACAGTATGCGAGCAACCCGGGTTCGAACCCTTTTTTTTTTTTTGCGGATGGAAAATCATCAAATGACGCCTTTCGCTCTGGGTGGAGCGGAAGGGAGTGTCAGACTTTTACTGACTAAAAACCATCCGTGTTCCTTCAGTGCCCTTACGTTCCGGAGCTGCGGTATCTCTTTCGAACAGCCCGCAGCCCCGGCAGGCGTCGGCCCTTGCGGGCCCCTTCACGCTGTTGACAGCTCTTTGACGCGCGCGTGGAACAAAACGCGCCGTCGACACGGCCTGTCGTCGTTAGACGGACGGACGGCGAGCTACCCATTGCTCGCCGTCCACAGGCCCGCGGGGTTCGAACCCTGCCCTCACCAACGAAATTGTAAATTGCAATTTTATGAGTTGATTTACCACGTGGTTGGCGGTGAAGGAAAACAATATATAAAATTACTGCTGGTAGAACTTTTCTGCCTAAGAGTATGTCTGGATACGTATGTACCTGCTTGCAGTGCTTTTTGCAGTTCAGGTCAGTATACAGAGCCGTTATAATTACAGACTATGAGGCGTTCAATCTCAGTCCTCAGAGAAAATTATCCATCCGTAGTCTTATTTGTTGGCTGGAGGTCTCCATAAGCTACCATAACTATCAGGTGGGCTGTATGTTCGTTTGTCATTTCAGTTTTATTATTAATAATAAAAAACATCGTGAGTTAACCTGTATGTGTGAGATATAAAGAATATTCCGAAGACATGGGAAGTTCGGCAACACGTATTGGTTGCGGCGAACATTTCTTTACTCTAAAACCCTCTCGTAAAACGTAGTATGGTTGCAGCAGAATTATATTACAATGCTGATAATTATTTTAATGGAACATGGAACATTGTATACCGAGCTTAGTTCTCTTTCTTCTTGCTGAGTGACTTTGAGCTCTTCCATGCGATTAAGAACCACATATCGGACCCGCATCTCATATAGTATCGTGGTCTAAGATACTTTTTATATAATTGAGTTGAGTGAGACAAAATAAAAATATAAATTTATTAATGTTTCCCAGATCTAATTTCAGTTATAGCGGCCAGTCTCAGCCAATGGCCATCTTCGGTGCACTAAGTACTCACAGCGTGGTGGAGGCGAGCGTAGCGTCGGTGCGCTTGAGCTGAGCGTCGAGCGCGATGCCGCGGCGGTCGCGCAGCGTGCCCAGCGACGGCGTCAGCGGCAGCACGCGCTGCAGGCTGGCGCCCGGCTGCAGCGGGCACCCGTCCCTGTCGCACACGCACTCCGTACTATCTTCGCACTCACTGCTTTGTGCTAATCAGCACTGCCATTGTGTAACTAGTGAGAATCGTATTGATCACCCGTCTCTGTCATACACTTACAATCTTCTCACTCACTCATTCACTGGTTTTTGCAGATCAACACTGCAATCTTGTGATCATTTTCATCATTACAGCCCTTCACGAGTCCACTCCTGAACATAGGCCTCCTTCAGGGAATGTCTCAAACAAGGTACTGAGCCACCATCGGCAATGTATTACAATCCGTGCGTTTGCATCAAAAACATCCAACTTCTAATGTTTCGAAACTTTTAATATAATATTACGTCACATGACATGTTTAGTTGGTGCTTGCGTTTGCTCCAGGAAAATTTGTAAATTTAGCGACAAATTTTAAGATTTGTTGCTGTTTGCGTTCGGACTCAATGTATATTTTGACATTGGGTAATAGATCCAGCTTTAAGTTGGTACGTAGATGTCTTTTTTATATTAATAATTTATTTAACGTTTTGTAATGTTGTAAACAGCGTAGTGATTCCCACCTGAAAACGATTCCCATTGGAGTTACACAATCGCACTGCGGGATTGTGTAACTCCACAGTTCAAGTAATTTATGGGCCAACGTAAATTACTTTGATTTGATTTAGGTCGCAGACACGAAATAGTATGAATTTTTAATTAAAGAAAAAATATTTAAAATAGAGGAATTTTTTTTTTGGAATTTCTTTACAAAATTTTCTTTTACAATTCAATATAATAATTGGATGTACTTAATTAAATGCGTTAACAGTTTTACGCAACTATAGGCGAAGCGTTAGAAAGTGCATTGTAATGGTGGTAACCAAATGGACATGAGTATGTGGGTCGTACATTTCAGAATTTTTCAATTTACATTCTATTTTAATGTTATTTATTTATCTTCACTTTATTGTACAAAATACCTAAATAAAATGGATTACATAGAACACAAATGCCTTTTGGCATTTACTTACAGTCAGCCTAAATAACTACCGCACTAAAAATTTTATTTAATATAACATGTATTACATGTTATATTAAATTAAAAGTGAAATGTGAGATACATTGTGTTTTCATGCGATGGCCAACTCAATCTATTTATTTAAAACATAAAAGATTTTTAATATTGATATGGTCACTATAAGATGTTGTTAGGTTAGCTAATTACGTAATAACTTGAGACAGAAGGATCCTTAAGTAGGGACTGAATCAATTAACCGACTTTTTATTTTATGGATCTCATAACTTTTTACGGTAGAAGAACTGAGTTGCGAGACTTGGTTTTTTTACAAGTTATGTTTTTGATGGTATAATATTTAAACTTTTTAAATTGTGACAACTTACTGCGTCTCGAGGCTGCAGACTATATTGCGGTACTGTCCATTCTGCAGTAGTAACACATCCACCGTCTGCTGAATGCACGCCTTGATCTTCTTCACTACCTTGTTGCTGTGGTTGCGTATGCAGATGTTTGCCGCGATCGTCTCACCGTGTATGTACAGCTATAGAAGATGCTCTATGTACTGACAGTAGGTACAAGTTCGGTTCAGTTAAAACAAAGGTGAAGTAATCATTTCACACGTTTTACTGTACAAACCCTGTAGTGGCGGTGTTAGAATTTCCACTACCCTATATCATCCTGTGGGTGTCCTAAGAGGTAACAGAGGGAAACAAATCAAGAGATGGTCAGCAGCGTTCTCCTAATAAAAAACTGTGGCCAAGCGTGGCAACTATGGCAAATATCCCTATGTTTAGCAGTGGACTTTGATAGGCTGTAACGGTCTCACTGTTAGGCACAATTCTTCTTTCATAGTTAGAATGTTTATTTATTTATTTGAAAACTACGGCAATGATTAGTTTAGGTATTCCACGCCTGGCTTGAACGAGATATCCTGATGAAATAGTGTGCTGTATTTTCTAACACTGCACTCATTCATAGTAGGCCTAAACCTTAGTAGGAAGCATTTTTTTTTTAATTATATATATTTATATCATTTAAGAGTGACAAGCGAGCACACAGTCCACCTGATGGTAAGTGGTAGAGGCACGCTGGTTATATGGTATACTATATGGTTTTAGCACTAATGCGGAACATCGAACGACCGATGTAGGAACGAGCTCTCACAAAATACCGAGGTAAAATAGCAGCTTAATGCTGCTGTGTTTCTATTACCATCAGGTTGACTGTGTGCTCCTTTGCTGCCTTTATTCTATAAAAAGTGGATGCTGTGGCAATAAACACCTACCTAGAGGTAGATCTGGAGGACTAAGATGGAAGTCACAACAATCATGGCAGTAATTTTACGCTGGTATTCTGACGATTATGATTGTATATTACCGACTTTTTGAGTTCTTTTACATCATCCATGATCACGGGGGAGACTGAGGTGTTTGACATCCTAATGCCATGGTTAACCACGGCTACCCTAGTTTAAAATTATAAGCTTTTGGTCCGAGTTATGCAGAGAGAATTTAAAGTATCTGGAAGTCTTGCAGTGGCATGCTTGGGTTGCAATTTAACCTTATTATAGGATATTACACTTACCATTATCATCACAGTCTAGCTAAACATAGGCCTCCCTCATAGATTAGGTACCTCATAGGAGTTATATTTGTCATTTTTATTCGTCAGATGGTATAAACTGACTAATCTTCTTTGGCGGCTTGAAGTATGTTTTAATGGAAGCTCGATTGCAAATATAGCCAATCTTCAACATCCAAACAAGTACAATATTACTATAAAATTTGATGAATTAATTGAGACTGTTTAAAGCCCTAATGAACGCAGCTTGAACATAAGAGATGTAAACAAGCCTAAACTGAAATATGGACTATGACGTTGCTTCAGGAGTTTCAGACCTGCTTGTCGAGCGTGAGTTCCAGCTCCAGCTGCCCGGGCGACAGCACGAAGTCCTTACGCACGACGGTGCAGGGCTGAGGGCCTGGCTTGCTTGGCGCATACTGCACCTTGCGGATGCCCAATGCCACCGTGCTCCTGGGGACGTAGGGCCATAAAGGAATAAAGACTTATTTATTGTGCGGTCATGTTTAATTTCAAAATATTTCACCTATGCAAGTGCAGCTACTACTGCATTAGGTGATGCCGAAACTATGCTCGATTTATTGTCAGAACATGCAACCACACATATGCATGAATTGCAACCAACAACAAAGCTTTTGTGTGTGTCCAGCCGTGGTCTTTTACGGGCTAATAAAGAAAGAAAGAAAACACAAAAAATGCATGCGTGAATACGTGTCAAAAACTTATGAATGGTTTTGGCATAACTTGAAATTTACATATATGTTATGTTCTGTCTATTTTTCTTAGTTGGTCTGAATCACCGAGTGTAAAAACTGCTGTCGGCCAGTAACTTTTCATACCAATTGCGAATATCCTACTTAGATGGCATGACATTCGCAAGTCCAGAATGTATAATGTGTACACAGCATATAATGTGTATGTGTTGGTGAGTCTGAATAACCTAAGAGTCCACTCTCAAACTAAGTTGAAGCGAAGAGGGTGATAGCAGCGCAGTCCACTCTGACGCAAGTTTTTTCAAGGGCATTGCTGTTAAGAAATTCTTAGTAGCACCCCGAAGTAAGGAAGCTGGAAGCGTTACACTCCTGTGCTTTGAAATGCACGTAAAGCCGTTAGCCTCTGCCCCTCTCTCACCGCTCTTGTTGGATTTCTGACCAAAGGAATATGTGTGGAAGAGTACGGAACAGGGTTTGCACTTGGGTTTGCGCACACAGTTATGCACTAAAATCCTGCCCTATGGCTTCTATTCTTAATAATGGCCGCGGTGATCGAAAATTCAGTTTCAGACATAACAGTATTTTATAGAAATTTATGAAGAAGTTATTTACAATTTATGCTGGAACCCACCGTGGCGTTTCATTATATAAATCATGTCTACCTTCTCTCTATTTCTATGTGTCTACGCAACTGTTTGAAATCTGTCAATTACTTTGTTAATAATATATATATTTAGGCCCAAAAATGGTCATTTGAGACGGCATCTAATCACCTTCGACTTAACGAATCGCCCGATGGTGTTAGGTGTTACGCGCGCCGCAGGGAGGGGGCATCGGTGTGCAGCTTCCCAGCATTTTGGCGCTCGCGGGCGAAAACAGTAGCTTGAGTGCAGCGACGCCGTCACAACGTAACGTATTTGTGGTGAACGTGGCAGCGATATCATGCGACCAGTTTTGGTTTGTGGTCTAGATTTCAGTATTTGTGCGCGTTAATTCGCTACTTAAATTGTGTTTCGTGAAGACCGTCTCGGATTAGGTTGTCTAAGTATTGCAGTGAATCTACTCGGGCCGCGTGATCACTGCCTTAGAAGGTCGCGTTCGATTCTCGTAGTTAGTTAAATGTACAATAAAGTTGCTAGACTGACATAGTGAATTGAAGAGAGAATCATTGTGAGAAACTACCAGTTGTAAAGGACGCGTTTGGAATTATAACGTCGATTTAAGTGCATCTCATTTATGCGTTGTTTTTTTTTTTGTTTTACGTGTCAACGAGGCTGAATTTAGAGTTTGAGCGATTGATTAACGTCGTTACAATTAATTAGCGTCAAGTGATATAATGGTTGCATACATTAGTGCATTCTGACAATATTAATTCGCGTCAATGAGTTGCTTTGTGCCATTTGATTTAACTCGGAGATATTTTCCTGTGTCGGTTAAAACCACTAAACTTTGTGACCCGCGAGAACCAGCGTTCGTATTAGATTATAGATTTATGCTGATGGACGCTAGACTTTGAGTGACACCGAGTGACGCCGCTGGAGTGATACCACATAGGGTGGCGGTGCTGGAGTCAGGGTTGCTGCTGATTAAAAGGGGCTAATTCAGGTTAAACATATATACACTTCTCATACACTACTTACATTCACTACTCTTAACGCCTGAACGAGCCTTGTGGTCTTTCTTCGCTTCTGGACCAGATAAGTCGCATTAAGTACCTAATCTATATATATATTAAATATCCATAGGCATTTGGGCCCCGTCCTTAGTTATCCGTCGAGTCTACAGCTGTATGGGCCCCTGTATAGTCGATCTTTGTCGGGACAGCTAGGGGCGTGTACAACATAGTTTACTTTTATTTACTAGATGTCGTTCCGTCTAAAGTTTGTGTTATTATTTGTGTTATATACGATGATTTTCAATGCCAGATGAAGCCATATAAGCCAAAGGGCTAACATAGCTAATATCTTAGAATAATGCTACACGATGCATTTTGACTCACATTGCTGATTGATAGTTGTAGAACCCTATTTCCTAGCCAATATTTTTGAACACTACAATCATTTAATTGAGAGGCTGACCTGCGGTGAGAGCGGTCGATCTCGCTGTCTCCGACGAAGAGCTTCACGTAGTAGTGCACGCCGCAGGGCTCGCCCTCGTCCTCTAGCGCAGGCTGCAGCGTGACGGAGCCTGGAGCGCCTGCTGGCACCGTCAGACGGAACGGGTACGCACTCGCACCCAGCTTACGCACCAGTCGCTCCTGAAATAGTAATTTTTTCATCAAGCCACTTGTGCAGCTTGGTGTACAAAACTGTCCACGAAGTGTAAATTTCTACCTATATAAAGCAACAAAGTAATATTATAACGACTCGATTTCTAAGCAAAAAGCATCTCGTTATCCATTAAAGTTATCTACAAGAGACAGATCTAAAGATAGATATGTGTACGCCTCTCGCGTTGCATTAATAATATAGCTGCAGCGTGGCTTTACCACGTAAAGAGTATACTTTAAATATTAATAGAATGCCGTGCTTCCAGTTAAGAGGGGTACTTATTATAGTATTCAGTTAATAAACGAACTGACAGTTTACTTAATGGTAAGTTAGCGGCTTCTGCAGCCCAGGAACACAAACTTCAAACAAAGAAAGCTACAGATGGTTGTCACTTCTGGGGACCAAGGTGGATGTAATTGTACTAACTCCGTTTAGTCTTATAACCGGACCAAAGCAGTGCACGCATTGCTACTTGGCGGCTAGATATGGTTCTCTTCTGTTGTAGAAATAATATATCTTAATCTTGGACGTATAAATAAGGTTATTTCTACATCCATGATCTTAATCTTCACGCTATATACGTGGTAGAGCCACGCTGCAGCTATATTATCTTTGCAGCACGAATGGGCCAGATCGATCGGGGAAGGTCCACGCTCTTACAGAATACCAGCGTAAAATAGCAGCTCAAAGCTGCTGTGTTTTGTATGGTGAGTGCAGAGAATTGAAGACTTTTCTTTTTGAAAACGAAGCATTCCATCTTAGCCATCATTTGGACTGTGTGCTCGTTTGTCAAACTTATTCTTCTTCCTAAAACGTGCACACTATTAGATGTGCACGTGTTAGAGGCACGCTGCAGCAATTTTATAGTTGTAGCACGAATGGGTTGGCTCGACCGGGAATGGGTCATGCTCTCACAGAATACCAGCGTCTGCATCTGCATTTTGATCCTCAATCCAGAATAAATGTGGATGGAAGATAGATGTAGGTGTCTACGGGCCATAGCATTCATTTAAAATCAGCTGGACTGTGTGCTCGCTTGTCCACTGTAAATTCTGAACATTCTCGGGACGAAATAGGGCAATGGATACTCATACTCTGCCAGTACACAACAAAAAATTTAAAAATGTTTATTAAAAATCCCAATTTATTTTAAAGTTTTAGAAATGTCATTTATACTGTGGCGTATAAATAACACTCGGGATTACGTCTTCAGACAGCATTATCTGGACTATAATCTAATGTTGTATAACAAAACACACACTAGAGCAACCGAGGTCGAGGTCGAGGTGAGCAATCCCCTAGGGCCCTGTCCACCTGCCAGCTGCGGCCGACGCGAATAAACTCGCCGCGTGTAACTACGCCCTAATTACTATGTAATTTAAACCCGTCATCCGCCGGTCTAATGAGTACTGCGAGGTGGGATCGCGTCTCTATGTACTAATTCGAATTTATTACGCGTCGCCATTTAACCCTTGCCACTCTAATGTGCTTTTATTTTTAATGGGACCCTTCATTTGCGCATACTTAAATCTTCATTCCTGCTACTGCTTGGGTGGTCCGTATCCAGAATTTCGTTCGAATTAAAAAATATATTTAAAGTGTTTTCTCATATCATTACGTTGGGGTTGTAAGAGAAGACAGAGGGAAAAAATCAGGAGATGAGCGGCAGCGTCTTTCTAATAACGACTAAAAAAAAATGCGGTTGCCAAGCCGCTTGCCATATATTTTTAGCATAAATGATTCGGCTCTACACTATAGATAAACCACTTAATTGGCGGATTGTCCGCGGGGGGTTTTTATAGGAGAAGGGGCAAACGAGCATACGGATCACCTGATGAACAACTACAACACCAGGGGAATTGCAGATGCGTTGCCGGCCTTTTAAAAGGAAGTAGGCTCTTTTCTTGAAGGACTCTAAGTCGTATCCACAGAGAAGGAAGAAAACATCTTCTAAATCGCAAAGTGGTAGACCGGCAATCATCTAGATAGTATGGATGGTATCGCGAGTTTTGTCGCGATGTGCAATGATGAAATTGAGCGCCTGGAATTAGTCCGAACAATTCCTCAAAGCAATCCCCGTGGTACATGTGATAAAATACGCAAAGAGATCCAACATCCCTACGCAGTGCCAGTGAGTCAAGCCGACCGGAAAGAACTCGGTCGTCGATTCAAACCGATCTGCTCTGGATGCGCTCAAGTGGAAGGAGCTGGCACTGAGGAGCCCCGGCCCAGAGATTGGAACAGTATTCCATGTGAGGCCGAACCTGCGCCTTGTAAAGTTGCAGGCTTTGTGCCGGCATGAAATACTGTCCCGATCTGCTGAGCACGCCAAGCTTTTTAGAGGCCAATTTGACCTTCTCTTCCAAGTGACCACGAAACTGCACGTCAGATATGTCGACGCCGAGGATCCCGATACTGGCTAAGGCAAAAGGGGAGTGCCTTGAAACTGAGGAGACATGACAAAGGGGTTCCTTTTAGCGGTAAACGGGCAAACTTGTGTTCTTCTGGGGATTGATCTGGACTAGATTTAGTCGCCCCCAATCCGAGACTTTGCTCAACAATGTCTCGACTTCAGACACAAGTTTGTTCCGGTACTCGGCGACGTTACGTCCCGAGAAATACTGGCATGGCCGGTGTATATCGTAAAGCATCACCAGTGCTGTCATCTGCATAGCAATGTATGCTACCGGTTAGCAACATATCATTGATATGCAGAAGAAACAGCGTGTGGAACACCAGCGTTAATAGGCTTGTAATCGGAGCATGCACCATCTATTACAACCTTGATGCCCCGATCAGCCAGAAAACTGGTGATCCAATTGCACAATTTCTCGGGAAGCCCATAGGAAGGAAGCTTCGAAAGAAGCGCTTTGCGCCAGACCCTATCGAATGTCTTCGCTATGTCCATACTAACGGCCAATGCCTCCCCCTTGGACTCTATTGCTTGCGCCCATCTATGTGTTAGGTAAACCAGAAGATCACCAGCTGAGCGACCCCGATGGAAACCGTACTGGTGGTCTCTAATCAGCTTGTGCTTCTCAAGGTACTGCCAGCTCGGCAGCTAATAATGGACTCCATTATTTTAGATTTTTTTTAGAATAAGGATGTGATAGCGATAGGCCTGTAATTGGACGGATCAGAGCGGTTACCTTTTTAGGGATCGGATGGACAAAAGCTGTCTTCCATGAATTCGGTACAACGTCTAGGGAATAGGTGTACCAAAAAAGACGCGTTAGAACCAGTGCCAACTCTGGAGCACGAGTCCTCAGCACAATTGGGGGATTCCGTCAGGCCCACTCGACTTCTGGATGCCCAGGGAGAGGAGTTCTTTGCGAACCGAGCGCTGTGAGAACAGCACATCCGGCATGGAGCACTCACACCGCGGGATGGTCGGCGGTGTTTTCCCCCCGTCATCAAGAGTCGAGTTGGACGCGAAAAGGGAGCCTAAAAGGTCGGCTTTGTCTTTTGCGTCTTGGGCCAGTGAGTCGTCCTCCCTGTGCAGAGATGGTAGTGATGGCTTACAGAAATTCCCTTGGACAGCCTTGGCGAGAGACCAGAATGCACCGGTTCCCGAAGGAAGGTGAACTAGTTTCTCGCCAATTCTGCCGATGTGCTCTGACTTTGCGTTGGCAATAACTCTTTTGAAGGACCTGGAGGCGAAGTTATACTTCTTTTTAAGTATGCTGGTGTTTACATCGCGAGCCGCCGAAGCCTCGGCGAGGCTGAGGCTTCGGCGGCCCGATAACACTTAAGTCCGTTTAAAGTATGAAGGAAAAAAATCATAATAACGAGCGTGTCATTAAGGAAGTAAATAGTAAGCAAAAGCTCCGTGCATTACCTCGTACACACACGAGCGCGTGTAGTTGTTGCCCATAAATCACATTCAATTTCGGAATTCAATTTTCAAATAAATATAGAAACATTATTCACGCGTATTTTTATATACTACAAAAAGTGTATATCAGTATTTATATTTTGAACTTAATTATTAAATTTGGCTAGTTAATTATTAAATAATTATTAGTTTGGCTAACTCTAAACAATAAAGTGATTTAATCGTTATTACAACACAACGAGCACTATCAAATAGAAAATAACAGATAATAAACAGTTTTCAAATTAATTGCGTTACAGCATAAATAAGACATCCGACTCAGCATAATGATTTGCAGTGTTACCACAGCTACAGAACAGTTATTCCGTCAGTGCCTCATATTTACCGTGCATTTCTTATACTTTTTATTTAATTTTCATTTCCTTTTCTTTTTGGTATAATTTTAATTGTGTTTGTATGTTTACTTGTATTTTTAAACCGTACCGTTCCCGTGTAGTGGCGGTGTAAGAAAATCCAGTGCCCCATATCATCCCCTAGGTTTCGTAAGAGGCGACAGATGGAAACAAATCAGTAGATGGGCAGCAGCGTTTTCATACAACATATTAAATTAAATAATCATATGTTTTATGAAACTATTAGTAATATTTTTTACACTAAAAGTTTCATAAAACACTTGGAATATTTATATAATTGTAACTACTAGTGGATAGTATTTTATACATGTTAATAGTTTCATAAAACAAATGACATATTAATGGAGTCCATTATAGTAAAATGGATTTACTCGTGATAGAGGATTAGTGTTTTGAAACTGTAACTGCGGCTTATCAGTTTATATCCAATGAACTCTCATATTAGAGTGGTTGTGTAATACTACGTACATTTAAGCACCCATTAATGATATAAATTACTAATAACGTACTAAAATAAAGTTCTTGGTATCACCAAATTTAAACTCGTTGAATTATAATCAGTACGGTGTAGTGGCGGTTTAATAATATCCATTACCCGTGGGTGTCGTAAGTCGCGACAGAGGGGAACAAACCAAGAGTTGTGCAGCAACGTCTTCCTAATAACAACTAAAAATAAAAATATATGCGACTGCCAACCCGCTCGCCACGCGTGCCAACTATGATAAATATCCCCCCTATGAGTACCTAATCTATGAGGTAGGCCTGTGTTCAGCAGTTGACTTTAGGCTTTAGGCTGTAACGGTAACGGTAAGTGTATTTTTTTTATTTATTAAGATATACAAACAAATGTACAAAGGTATTTATAAAAGTATTACCAAAAAGAGTATAATATATGTACATTCAACACCGTATACTACATATTAGTATAAACAATATGTGGTATACGGTGTAATATCCTATAACAAGGTTAAATTGCACTATTTTACGCTGGTATCCTGTGAGAGCGTGGTCCTTCCCCTTTCGAGCCGGTTCATTCGTGCTTTTTTTTTTGTTTTTTTTTTATAGGATCGGGTGACAAACGAGCACACAGTCCACCTGATGGTAAGTGGTTACTGTGACCCATAGACATCTACATCTATCCTCAATAAAGACTCAAGATGCAGATGCGTTGTCACCCGTGAGGACTAAGATGGAATGCCTCTTTGCCAGTAAAAAGGGTCTCCGGTTCTCTACACTCACCATACGAAACACAGCAGCGTTAAGCTGCTATTTTACGCTGGTTTTCTGTGAGAGCGTGGTCCTTCCCCGGTCGAGCCGACCCATTCGTGCTACAACCATAATGTAGCTGCAGCATGGATCTACCATATATAACAACTATTTAGAATTTAATTGAAGTCCACCAACACCTAATGAAGAAATATTTGGCCTCTTCACGCTGTGTAATTGAAATTATAATTGAATGAATCCAAGGAAAGTCAGCACAATGATAGTAATATTTGTGCCGACTGTAAATCTAGTGCCTAATTGTTCAGCAGAGTATATCGAACAAGGGTCCATAGGTCACAAGCACAAATTCCAGGGTGAAAGAGATCTTAAGAGACGAGCTATTACACGACACGAAAAATATTTATATGCACGCGCCGCGTTGGATTCAGTTAAACTGTTCAGAATAATTGGGTTATGGCAGAGTTATGGCGGCGTTTATACTGAAAAGTTTATATTATATTAAATTGTGAAGAAATTATTTTTTCTTTTTAGTTTTCGGAACCGGTGTTTACCTTTCTTTAAAGTTTAATTATCTTTACTAACGGGCAACTCCACGGTAAATAGTTAAGTAAATCGTCAAGTAAACAGGGAAATAAGCAAGTAAATAATTAAGCAAATGAGCAAATAAACAAGCAATTAAATAATCAAGTAACTAAGTAAGTAAAAGGCCAAGTGTATAATCTAGTAAATAAGCAAGTAAATAGTCAAGTAACTTAAAAGCTGAATATACGGATAAAATCACGAACGTACCTGTGTTTTGGAGAGCTCGTAAGATTGCTTCTCCGGTGGCGGGTAGACCTGCTCCGAGGCGAGGTACAACTCCTTGTAGAAATTGAGGCCCATGACCTCGTCTTCTTCGCGGCCGTAGCGGAACGTGCATACCACCTGTGCGAATACCTTGCGCGCGCGGACGTACTCCTCGTCCAGCATAACCACGCCATCTGTCACACGACGTCAACAATGATAGAGATGTCGCTAAACATAGCCGACGAATAAAGGCTGCAAAAAGTGACATACATGGTAGAGTCATGCTGCAGCTATATTATGATTGTAGCCTAAATGGGTCGACTAGAACGGAGAAGGACCACGCTCTCACAGAATACCAGCGTGAAATAGCAGCTCAGTGCTGTATGATGTGTTTCTATGATGAGTGTAGAAAACGAGAGACCATTTTTATACTGAAAGCGAGGCATTCCATCTTAGTACTCAGCGGTGAGAGCGCATTCTGCATTTTAATATTTAATCAAAGATAAATGTAGATGTCATTGTGCCACAGCATTCTACTTACTGTCAGGGGGACTGTGTGCTCGTTTGTCACGTTTATTTTATAAAAAAAATACACTGTTAAATCAAGAATGAATTTAGAATTAAACCCATCGCACCACCTATCGGGAAGGGCAGAAAAACGTTTGACATGGCAGCTAGTCTTCATTGTGTACGTAATTCTCCTCCTAAATGACTTGACTGATTTTGATGAAATTTTTATGGGAAGCTAATAGGATCACGAGGATGGTTTTAAGTTGTACTCGGACGCGGTAGTGCAGTAAAGGAGTGGAATAATTTACCGGCGTCTGTCATTCCGTTATTAATATTCAGCTTTTGTTACGCTAAGATTTACAATCTAGTGCTTCATCATCACTTACCACCAGGTGGGATGGTGGTCAAGCACTGGCTTATAATAAGTAAATAAAATCCGGGTCGCTATTGTAATATCTATACAAATAAATAAAATTGAAGTGTCTGTTTGTATTGTCAAAATAACAGCTTTTTAATAAATGAATATGAAAGTATATACGGTACTTATAACAAAACACAATTTTTAATTTTTTTCTGTCTGTCTGTCCGTCTGTTTGTCTGTCCGTCTGTCTGTCTCTCTGTCTTTCTGCTTGTTACGGCTGATGTCCGAAATGGCTAGATCTATTTTGACGGGAATTTCATTGGCAGATAGCTGATGTTATAAGGAGTAACTTAGGCTTCTTTTATTTTTTGATAAGAATTAGGGTTTAAAAAATTAAAACCCATGAAATTCAATTGTAATAAATTACGCGCGAGCGAACAATCACCCGCGTGGGGAACAGCTAGTTTAAAAATAAAAAAAAATATCTAAAAGCTTTTAGAAAAATTTTACTTCGCAAATATCCGCGTTATAAAATAAAATGATGTGTCTTACCTAGTATGAAGAGCACCTCCCGCCCTCCCTCAATTGCGTGCACTATCCCTGTCACCACTAATCCCAGCACCGCTACTCCCAACACCACTACACTAGGCAAGACACACCACTGACGATAATACGACACGTGTTTCGCCTCTACACGAGGCATCCTCAGGTGATATAGACTCTACGGTGGCTAACCGCTAAGTAAGATATTTGCGAAGTAAATTTTTCTAAAAGTTTTTATATAATGGATTTCCGCAAAGTAACGCCTGATTCTATTAATTATAAAAAAATATCTCTTTTAGAGCTGTGTATATGTATTAGTTGGTATGTTATTCATTTTACAATAGAAACAGAAAATATTTGTTAGTGTATATATTAGCACATACACCTGAGATACAGGTTTATGCTGGTTCAGATACCTGTTATTGAGACTATTTTAAATTAAGGCATTGTTTGAATTAATTGTACAGTTTATTGAAATAAATTATTATATTATTATTATTGTGTGAAAAAACCAATTTCTCTAAGTATAAAAGAAATCTAAGAAGTTATTACATTATGTTAGCATATTAAATTAAGCTAGTCAATTTCAGCAAGCACATGAACATCGAAGTGAACGCCCGATGAGAGCCCTCGCGAATGTAGGCCGCTCCGTAAGAGCGCTCTTAACTGCACGCACTTCGTCCTGCAAGTGATCTTGTTGAAGATCTGAATTCTTCTTATAGGCGTTAGCATTTAGTTTAATGACCACGCAGTAATTATAATAAAAAATTAAACCTTTCATCTTTAAATATGAGTAAAGTTGAAGTATCTGTCTGTAATATTGAAATCACTGCCTTCATTTAGCTCAGGGGGTTATTTGCATGCTACTAACCATTTTTTAAATTTTCGTCTGTCTGTATGTCCGGGCTAATCTTCGGAATGGCTGGACCAATTGTGATGAAATTTTACGAACAGATAGAGAGGAATACCAGGAGAGATCCCGGCTATATTTTATTCGCAAAAGTTGAAGATTTTTCTCTTTAGTTATCTTAAATATAAATAATGATAAGCATTGAACGAATGAATGAAATAAATTCGCTTATTTTCATTCATTTCGATGTGTGGTCATCATCCCATTTACCTTTTGTGTGCTCGTGAGAGGTGGCTAAGGTAAATGACAGAAAAACGTCATGGCTTCTGATGAATATCGTTTACACATCATACTTAAAATAGCCAGACCAGCAGTGGAGAGCAGTGCCAAGATGCGATACGTACGGCGGCAATTAGAGCTAATCGTCTTTACATAGAGAAAGGCTCAATTTAGAACTTATGCGGACCATTGTTGATGAAGATAGGTGAAGAATAGGATTTAACATGGCAGCAATACAGATTTTGTTGTCACACGATGTGTACATAAAGCAATGAGAGTATCGGACTCATGAGTCGGTTTTTCTTAGAACTAGCACCAGGATCTCGCAAATTAAAATTGTTCATACCACAGATAGTAGATCAAAGCGTAGCTGTCACTGCTTAGCTCTGGCTTGGCTTATTTACGTATTACTAGCGTAATTAGAATTTACACAAAATCAAAATTCACAGATCATTCAATCATTTTATACGTGGTAGAGCCATGCTGCATCTATATTATGGTTGTAGCACGAATGGGTCGGCTCGACCGGGGAAGGACCACGCTCTCACAGAATACCAGCGTAAAATAGCAGCTTAACGCTGCTGTGTTTCGTATCGTGAGTGTAGAAAACCGGAGACCCTTTTAACTGGTAACGAGGCATTCCATTTTAGTCCTCACGGGTGACAACGCATCTGCATTTTGACTCTTAATCGAAGATAGATGTAGATGTCTATGGGCCACAGCGACCACTTACCATCAGGTGGACTGTGTGCTCGTTTGTCACCCTTATCCTGTAAAAAAAAATCAATCTGTAAGGAATAATTAACATTTTAAAATTCGTTGTCGACATACGTGTAAATTATTATGTGTTCAACAGCTGACATTCGCAGTATGAACGTAAAAACAATGTATTACTTATAGTTATGGTAGTTTAATGTATTTATAATACAAGTTATATAATATAAATTTTAAGTTTCTGCACTCCTCTATATACACCTAACTATGCCAAATCTCACACTCCTCCGAGCGCGCAATGTGCTTAAAAAGGGGTACAAAGTTTTCTCTTTACGTATCATAATTATACAGATACAGCAAGCCGCAAGATGCCCCGTCCTGTCACTGGTTTAGATAAGCTGATATAAGGTTAAGATGATTATTGAGGTAGTAAACATTCGGATGATGGATCTTATGGTGCCACCAAATCTATTTAATGTACAATCATTTCAATAAATATCAAATATCCGGTTGCAGCAAGTTGAGAAATATTTGAACATTTTCTAAAACCCGTGCACAAAGTTTCCACAAGCGGATTTAACGATATCTTTGAAATGCTTTCTGCTAAAACTTCCGGCCGCGTTCAGCGCGCGGCAGTTCTGCTAGTTCACCAAGAAATAACTTCCGAGATATATAAAATGCATTTCTCCTAAATTGTTATTTTAATGAGTTTTTTTAACGATGTACAAGAATAAAATTTTTTGCTCTCTTATATGTTTGCCGGTGACATTTTCCAAATATAACCGCTTCAGGGTTTTTTTTGTGACAAATTCAGCACTTAAGACGCGGACGAAGTCGCGGGTATCAGCTAGTACAAAATAAAATGGGCAAAAAGTTCTGGCGAAATTTCTTGAAATCTTCAGGTGATTGGAACTAACCTTCAAGCAAATTCAAACAAAGAAGGGCTCAAATGCGTTGCCAGCCCTAAAGACATCAACGAAATTCTACACAGCCCTTTTATACAATAAGGGTGCCAATCGAGAACAAAGTAAGTAAATGCTGTGGCTCAAAGACATCTACATCCACTCTCCATAAAGAATCAAGATGCGTTGTCAACCCTGAGGACTAAGATGGAATGCCTCGTTTTCAGTAAAAGGGGTCTCCCGTTCTTAACACTCACTAGAATGTCCTCCAGACCGAATTTCAGTCACGGCAGCCAGTCTCAACGGAGACTAGCTATCTGTGCAGGACAGGATTATAGTGCCCGAGTGTATGCCCAAGCACAGGTGCACTCTCTATTCTCTCACTCTGATAATCCGACGGTAAACCGACACGACCGGAGAGATATCAGGCGCAGGATCAACGGCTTCATGTTCTTTCTGAGGCACGGGGTTGAGACACCGCCTACTTCCTGACTCCGGGCAGCTACTGAGAGTTTCTTGATGAAAAAACTCAATAACCGACTTTTTTGGTCCGATTCGGGATTTGAACCCGGGGCATCATGATCAGCAGTCACACTACTACAGCCAATAGACCAACGGGGCAGTCAAACCATACGTAACACAGCAAGCATTAAGCTGTTAATTTACGCTGGTATTCTGTGAAAAAGTGGTCATACTCCGGACGAGCCGAGCCCTTCGTGCTACAACCATAATATTTTTTAAAATATTTTAATAAAAAAATACTAATAATGCTATTAAACATTACAAATATTCCCTTTAACCACTTCTGGTAAGCTTAAAATGCTTTTATTAGAAGTGGTTCACGACAGTAGTCGAATGGCGGATTCGAACCCATGACATTTCGAGTTCGCGGTCCGCGCCCTGGCTACTGATGCCTCAGTTGTGGTTCGGCTATGGTTGGAGCATGGCTCTACCACGTATAAAATCCTCCGTTTAGTGGACTTTGAAGAAGAAAAAGAACTGAGTAGTGCCTTCCGTTATTAAAATCAGTCCGATAGTAAAGAATAAACTGCCTTGATTTTTTTTTGAATATTATCTACATACGCGTATAAGAGAAACTTAAAAGTTAGATAAATGACCTGTTTGGTCCAAAACTTCATTTATATAGCTTTATTATTATTACTATATTATTTTATACACCAACCTATCGGTTCCACGAAGGAGATGTGGTCGACGAACTCACGCTTGGCCATGTACAGCGTGAGCTTGCCGTTGGGCGCACACTTTTTAAACACTTTAAAATTGTACACCATTGTTACAGAATTGTTGATTATTGACAAAACGATACTATTGCACTGATTTGCCGAGGAAGACTGCGCAGTAGCCTGTATGTATTCGTAGTTATATAGTGGATTACTTCCTTGAAAGGTTTCCCAGCTCTAGGTAATCTTATTTGCGTTATTACAGGCCACGTGAAGAGCACCGTAATGCGTAAAACACCCACATGTTATTAAGAATATATTTCTTCCAAGTTGAAGGTGAACTGTGTAACAATACTTCTAAATCGATGCGCGGAACTGACTTTGCTTTTTTATTTATAGTTTTTACTAATACAAACAGTTTATAGTGTAACCGATCGGTTAACGTGGGTTTTTGAAATGTTAATAGCCTTCATTCTTTTTTTATAACTTCTCATTAAAGTCTACTGCTGAACATGGTCTATGTTCCCGTGAAAATTGCCTCATCGGGGGGATTTTGTCACAGTTGCTTTGCTTGGCAGGCGGGTTGACATCCACAGTTTTCTATTGAGTTGAATCAGGAAGATACTGCTGCCCATCTCGTTTCAGTTTCCCTCTGTCTCCTCTTACGACACCCACGGAACGGTATGGAGTAGAGGATATTCTTACACCGCCGCTACACGGTCATTTACAGTTAATAGTTTTACTAGTATTCTTTTTAAAATAAAAATGTATTTAATTAAAAACAAAAGAAAATAAGAAGAATCAAGACAATTACTAGAATCACGCATTACTTTGACGATGTTCATTATATTAAAGACGTTAAAATATATTAGCTAAGATTCGCTTGAAAAAAATGCCGTCGATAATATGACACGTGTTTTGTCTCTAAGCGAGACATTATTAGGAGAAATAGACTCTTCGATGGCTGTTAAAGCTTAGTGGCGTATGTGGTGTGTTTTTCTAGTGCAATCGAGGGAGAGAAGGAAGTTCTCTTCAAATTTGATATCTAAGTGAATGCGCTTTACCACCTTCAGCTAGAACACCGCTTACCATCAGGTGGTATAATCAAGCATTGGCTTATAAAACTTAAAGAAGGTAATTCAATGTAGTAGAGTCATGCTATAGCTATTTTGAGGTTGTAGCACGAAAGGGTCGGCTCGATCGGAAAGGATCCTCGTTCTCACAAAATACCATTGTAAGATGGCAGCTAAATGCTGCTATGTTTCGTATGGTGAGTGAAGAGAACCGAGGACCCTCTTTACTGGAAACGAGGTTTTCCAACTTAGTCCTCCGGCGTGATGATGCATGCGTATTTTGATTCTTAACAGGGGATAGATGTAGATAGATAGATGTCTATTAGCCACAGTATCTACTTACCATCAAGTGGACTGTGTGCTCGTTTGTTACCATTATTCTAAAGAATAAGACACACCATTAGATATTTTTTGCGTATCTTAGCAAATAAATTTTAAGAACCGAGAAGCAAGGTGCATGGTCAGTAAGATTTGTAAGATTTAAGTGATGGTGAGAATAACAAGAGACCTCCATAAATATTATTAACTGAATATAATAACAACGATTTCAAAATGTCATTTCTTGATACTATATTTAAGGACTACTTTTCCTTTGACGATCGAATGAAACAGTCGTAAATTGAAGTACTTCTTAAGATTAAATAGCGTTTTACGATCGATCTCCAATGAAGTAAGTTGTGTGTTAGCAATTTTATTAATAAAACCTTTTCATTATATTCAAGTAGTTTTATGGATTTATTATTTGACTAATCTATATTAAGCTGCAGCATGAATGGTTGGCTCGCTGGGGTAGGCTGGACCACGCTTTCACATAATACTAGTGTAAAACAGCAGAATGATACTGTAATTGTTGTGGTGAGTGCAGAGACCCTTTTTAGTGGAAACGAGGCATTCCATTTTAGTCCTCAGGGGTGATAACCCGTTCGGTTTGATTCTTAATCGAGGGGACGTAGATGTGTATGGGCATCAGCATCCATTTACTTTATTCTTTATAAAACCCATTTTGATATACATAAGTATGCTATGTAGTATATAGTATGGTAGTGAAAGTTTGGTGTGGCAGAAGAAGCACGAGAGTAGAATAAATGCTGTAGAACTGCGGTCATTAAGGAGTATTTAAGGGATGAATCTGAATGACAGAGTGATAAATTGTTTGATAAGAGAAGAGTGTGGTTTGGAAAATGATGTTATGACCAGGATTAAGAAAGGAATGCTTCAGTAGTTTGGTCATGTATAAAGAATGAATGAGGAAAGAATGACAAAGCAAATTTATGTTGCAGACGTGAACGGCAGAGTCAGGAAGGGACGCCCTAGGCGAAAGTTTTTCGACCAAACTGATGATATATTGAAAATGGGCCAAATCAAGAGTACCTTTACACGACGAGCGTGTATGCGTATGTATATGAATGTGGAGTAAGCGAGAGAGGTGTGTCAGGATCGTGCCAAATGGAAGTCCATAGTCTCTGCCTACCCCTCTGGGTGACAGGTGTGAGTGTTTATATACATAAGTATGCTTAAAGACACTAATTAGTAACATATAAGAAAATTTGGAGTCGATAAGCACGTACCGTACGTGAGAGCTATGTATGCTTGGAACTATTCTGCGTTATAAAATCTGTAACGAAAATATCAACAGTAACACAGGAAACGCAAATATTCTCGGACCAGTAAAATAAAGTGGGTTTCTGGTGGGATCTTAAGTGGCAGCCTCGTAATGTAAAGCAGAGTGCAGGATGACCCCCTGATAGATTGAATGACAATTTGGTATGACTTCCGGGGAGTAGGTGGATGCAAAAGATGAGAACCGTATTTTATGCCCCATTTTCAGAGGTTGCCTTTGTGCACGAGTGGAGTTGTAATGGATTAATGACGATGAGTATGATGTTCCCGTTTTAAATTTCGAATACATATTTAGAAACGTAGAAGATCATGATAGAGGAAACCAACCATCTCATGCTGTATGAAATGGACTCAGTTAATATATATGTTTAATTTAATGAGATATCGTGGTAGCTTAGGGGCTTGGCTCTAGTATCCCCAACGTCAACAATGAAGTCGTTAATTGTAATTTTAATTACTGTAAGAAAATAATGAAGTATTAGATATTACATCGCCAATGCGCCATGCTTGGGAAATTAAGGCAAATTCTCACTAACAGGAAAGGTTTATGTCAAGCTGTAGGGTTTTTGATCTAATGAAAAAATACACATTTGATTATATTAATGTTTTCAATACTTTCTAAGTAAGGAAAAATATGAGAATAATTCTGAAAATCTGTAATCATCTTGCAGTCACATAAAACACAGTTAGTAAAATAGGTTTGTAAGAGATAAGTATTGCTGGAACAATTTAAATTGCGAACTTAAAATATTGATTTAAAAAGAAAAAAAAAAAACAATAACTATTACTAAAATGTTACTGACTTAAGTCTAATTCCATATTATATTAAGAATCAAGATACTGATAACTAGAACGGATGCCACACTCTGGCGTTCAATAGGTCTTGATTGTTTGAAACTTGCACTGAGGGTGAGGCCAAATTACGAGCCACTTGACCTCGTGTGTGCTTTTGATATACTCAAAGTCTGACGACTTGGCGCTAGATGTATTTTTCGCAGTAAGCTATGGGGTTCGATCCCCGTCGACACCAAAAAATTGTTAATGGCAAAATTTTAAGTGTTATTTACACATGCTCGGCGGTGTAGGAAACCTGCCTGACTAAAAAACAATATTGTTAAATCGTAATCTAATTTTCAAATAAAATAAACAACCTTTGGCGTTTTTTCTTTCTAATTTTAATATTTTCTCAAATTTTGCAATAACATGTCCGTCACGTTTATCTCTTCTCTATGTTATATGAAAGTAATTACTCTAAGATTTCACGCAGTCATATGTGTAATTTATTACACATATTATAACTCTAATTCGATACTATGAGGCAACCGCATGTTTACCATTTAGATATCTGCTGTCCAAAGGGCCGGCAACACATGCAATTCCCCTGGCTCATGGGCGGCGGTAGTAACTTACCATTAGGTGTGCCTCATGCTCATGTGACCTCTTTTCTATAAAAAGGCTCACCTGATGGAAAGTGACTACCGCCGCCCATGAACAACGGCAACACCAGGGGAATTGCAGATGCGTTCCCGGTCTTTTAGAAAGGTGTAAGCTCTTTTCTTGAGGGCTCCTAAGTCGTATCGGTCAGGAAAAATCACCAGTGGTAAATATTCCACAGAGAAGTTGTACGAGGAAGAAAACTCCTAGTAAAACGCACAGTCGTGGACCGCAAAGCATCCAGATGGTGAGGATGCTATTGTGAATTTTGACGCGAGGTGCGTTCGTGAAATTGAGCAGCTGGAATTGATCCGAACAATTCCTCAGATCACTCCCCGTGGTAAATTCGATACAAAATGCAAAGGGATGCAACATCACCAAAGAACTCGGTCTTCGACGATTCGAACCGCTCTGTGCTAGATGCGGTCAAGTGGAAGGAGCTGCGCCGGCCCAGAGATGGGAACAGTATTCCATGTGAGGCCGAACTTGCGCTTTGTAAAGTTGCAATCGATGTGCCGGCATGAAATACTGTCTCACTCTGCTGAGCACGCCAAGTTGTTTAGAGGCCAATTTGGCCTTTCCTTCCAAGTGACCACGAAACTGCACACTGTGCGATATGTCGACGCCGAGGATTCCGATGCTAGCTGAGGCAGCAAGGGGAGTGCCTTGAAACTTAAGAGATACGACAAAGAGGTTATTTTTAGTGGTAAACGCGCAAACTTGTGTCTTCTGGGGATTGAATTAGGGACTAGATTTAGTCAGCCCCAATCCAAAATTTTGATCAGCAAAGACTCGACTTCAGACACAAGTTTGTCCCGGTACTCGGCGAAGTTTTGCCGAGAAATATTGGCACGGCCGGTATATAAGGCATCACCAGTGCTGTCGTCTGCATAGCAATGAATGTTACTGGTTTGCAACATATCATTGATATGCAGGAGAAACAGCGTAGATGATAGCACGCAGCTTTGTGGAACACCAGCGTTA